CTTGAGGCCCCTGCCCACATGCAGCTTTGGGGGTGTGTGTGTGAGGATAGTCACCATGGAGGCTCTCAGCCATGGCCTTAGGGCCTTCATCTGAAGTAGCTAGCAGGGACTCTTCTTTAAGCTGGGGGCCTGGGCTTCTGGTGGGAGGGGGAAGACATGAGTTATATTCCCTAGGAAGTCCACTGGGCAGGAGGAACCTGATATTAGGCAGAGAAATCAGGGCCTTCCTCCAACCTGAGGGCCAGAAAGGGGACCAGGAAGCCTCCCCGCTTCAGGAGAGCCTGAGTAGTGAAGGGACTCGGGTCCTTCCTTGAGTGTGGCCGTGGGGACTGGGTTGGTGTTGGTTTAGGACCAGGGTGGCCCTTGGAAGAGGCCAGCCTCCCTTGGCCTTGCCTATAGCAGATCACCCTGCCCCTGGGGGACCTAGGTCAGTGGAGGGTGGCAGCTTATAGATATGCCCTGGGGAGAAGGGTAGGGGCTGAAGGAGGCTGAGGGAGCAGAGGCCAGTGAGATGTTGCTTGGGAGTGACAGGTCTGCTAGCACTATGCCACCCCCATCACAGACTCCTCCCTCATTGGCTGCCTAGGGCCTAGCTTTCTTTTTTTTCTTTTTTTTTTTTTTTTTTTTTGAGGCAGAGCCTCAAGCTGTCCCCCTGGGTAGAGTGCCATGGCATTACAGCTCATAGCAACCTCCAACTCCTGGGCTCAAGCGACTCTCCTGCCTCCGCCTCCCAAGTAGCTGGGACCACAGGCGCCCGCCACAACGCCCGGCTATTTTTTGGTTGCAGCCGTCATTGTTGTTTTGGCGGGTCCGGGCTGGGGATTCGAACCCGCCACCTTAGGTGTACGTGGCTGGCGCCTTAGCCGGTTGAGCTATAGGCGCCGAGCCGGGCCTAGCTTTCTCATGAGGCATCCTCCCTGCAGGCCTGAGGCTGCCCTGTATTTTGGCTGCTGTTTTCTGAGGAACACCTTTTTGCTCCTTTCACAAAGACTGTGTTGAGTCTCTCCCTCACCAAGCCCCCTGCATCCCTTCCCTGCTCAGCCTGGAACTGCTGTCCCTGTGCACAGGTGTGGTACATGCCTCCCTTCCTGCCTCACTCTTGCAGGTCTGCCTTGGATCACAATAGGTCCATCCCTGGGTCCTGCCTTCCAGGGGTGTGGGCAGGTGGGAGCAGGCAGGGGAGGGTTGCTGCACAGGGCACACCGAGGGCCCTGGAGAGGCAAAGGCGGGCACGGAAGGGGTAGGCTTGTAGTGGCCTTGGGTCTGGAGTAGGGGTCAGTGGCTGAGCCTTGGTTGGGTGTAATTGCTGAGGGCCTGAAAAGCTACATCCTAAGGCCAGTGGAGCTAAGGGAGTGGGCTGGGCTGGGAGAAGTAATAAGTATTTACATATTTTTTTAAAAGTTACTTTGCTGTCCTGGGCCCTTTCTGCTTGCCCCCAAAGTTCACTGTTTTTTGTTGTTATTGTTTGTTTTTTAAGACACTCTTACTATGTCGCCTTTGGTAGAGCGTTGTGGCGTCACAGCTCACAGCAACCTCAAACTCTTGGGTTTAAGCAATTCTCCTGTCTCAGCTCCCCCCCCCTCAACCCCCCCAGTAGCTGGGACCACAGGCGCCCACCACAACACCCAGATATTTTTTTGTTGCAGTTGTCATTGTTGTTTAGTTGGCCCAGGCTGGATTCAAACCCTCCAGTCTTGGTGTATGTGGTCATTGGCCTACACACTGAACCACAGGTGCCACCCAAAGCTCACTGTTTTCAGTTGCATTAAGGGCTTCGTAACTTCTCAGCAGTTAACCAGCATGGTGATGCTGAGGTCCACACAGCTGCCTTTTTTTTTTTTTTTTTTTTTTGCAGTTTTTGGCCAGAGCCACCGGGTCCGCCACCTCTAGTAGGCTGGCACTGGCAGACACCCTACTCCTTGAGCCACATAGTTGCCAAATTTTGACTGCAACAAATTAGGATAGGAACCCTTGGTCTGCACCTCCCTAGGAGGAGGAACATACATGGATGTTTATCCAGAATAAGAGGATACAATAGCATTGCCTGATGCTACAGTGTAACATTCTTTTAAGGCTGTTGAATGATTCATTTTGTCCTTACAAATCTCTGGGGGTAGCTCACTGTTACTGTCTCCATTCCACAGATGGGGAAATGAGTACAGAGAAGTTAAATAACTTGTCCAAGGTCACACAGCTAGTAAGTACAATTTTGGGGTGGGGTATGCCTATTTTCAGAAAGCAATTTTTATCTTACTGAAAATCATACAAGTAACTACTTTAAAAAGGTCAAATAGTACCGATATATAAGGCAGGAAAAGAAACCCCTGAGCAGGGGCGGTGCCTGTGGCTCAGAGGAGTAAGGCATCGTCCCCATATGCCAGAGGTGGTGGGTTCAAACCCAGCCCCGGCCAAAAACTAAAAAAAAAAAAAAAGAAGAAGCCCTTGAGCAGAGGGGAGTAGGGCATCCCAGGCTTGTGTTCATGGAAGACCAAGTGAGTATGTTTGTACTGGAGGCTCAGTGAGGACCCTGGAAGTGTCTGAGAGAGGGAGGCTCTGCAAGGAGCCAGATGAGGAGGTAAGGCCAGATGAGCCCCTGTGGGCTGTTTTTCCCCCACTTCATTCACCACCACCAAAGTGGAAGCAGGCCAGGCTCATGGGTGACCCCTGTCTCTCCTTTGCCTCCTAGAGAGTCTTGATGCTGGCCTGGAGCAGAAACTGAGCTGGACCACTGGATTCTTGGTGAGGGGGACTGGACCCCACTGGGGAAGGCAGTGGGCAGCTGGAGCCATGTAGATAGTGAGGCTGGAGGTGTCTTGAACCACTAGCTAGGTTGCAACCACACACATCCGTCTATAGCCCCTGCCATACCCTGTCCTGGATGGACAGACAGGTGGTTGGGTGGAGGTCCCAGAGCTCAGAATTCAGGAGTATCATGTGTACACATCTGCCTAATTCCAGGTAGGCACGTTGTGACCCTTCCAGGAATGGGGAGCCTCCTTGTCCACAAGACACTGAAGCCCCCAGTTCTCTGAGGCCAGGTTTTTGTTCAAGGGGAGCTTAGGGCAGCATTTGGGTACTTTGGCACTGGATTCTGAAACATTATAGCTAGGAATTTGGGGATACTGTCCAGATATTTTTCTAGGTTAGCAGCAGGCCACAGTTGGCTTCTTGAAAGTACACCTTCAAGGGTGGCACCTGTGGCTCAGTGAATAGGGCGCCAGCCCCAAATACTGACAGTGGCAGGCAAACCCAGCCCCAGCCAAACTGCAACAAATAAATAGCTGGGTTTTGTGGCAGGTGCCTGCAGTCCCAGCTATTCGGGAGACTGAGGCAGGAGAATTGCCTAAGCCCAAGAGCTGGAGGTTGCTATGAGCTGTGACGCCACCACACTCTACCGTCGACAAAGTGAGACTCTGTCTCTAAAAAAGAAAAAGAAAGTGTACCTTTGAACTTCAGGCTGAGGAAATCCCCACCAGCCCTGTGTAAGTGGGGGTCCCCAGACAGCCTCAAAACAGGAAGCTCCCGCTGCCTGCTGGCCTGTTCCAGGAACACCGGCAGCAGGAAGTGTAGCTGGCTGTGCCTGGTGCCTCGTCTGCCACCAGCCTGAGCTTTGCTGCAGTCATGGGTTGCCCTTTGCTCCTGGCCAGGCAGGTCACCTGAGGCCATGTTTGTCTAAAAGGTAGAGGAAGCTGCCATCTGTGGAGTGTGTTCCCACCCTCTGGCCTGCCACCCTGGAAGGACTGGGCTCAGCCTGGACCTGGGCTCTGGAACTGAATCTCTGGCAGCCCCATGGTGTTCAGGCCAGTTTGGTTTTCCTGGGCAGCATGTGTGGCTCCTGCTATGGGGGCTCTTCAGGGTTGATGTGAACTGGAAGAGGGTGTTGGCACCCTTGTGCAGTGCCTAAATTCCCCCACCCCTCACCCCTCCAGCCCTGTGGGTCAGGAGGTATCAGGCAGGTGAGCTGGCATCAGGAGGGAGAGAGGGAGAGCCACACAGGAGGGTGGAAGTGGCCAGCGGGTTCTAGCGCCAGAGCTCTTCCTGAAGGGAGGCATCCAAAGTTATCAGCTGGTTCAGGCCTTAAGCTGGGTCTGGGCAAGCAGGCAGCCAGAGGATGTGTGTGGCTCCTCCCCTCCCCACCCCCCATCTAGTCCCCTGTGCCACACATTCCATTCATTCTCCACTTGCTGGCAGCCTGGGGCTGGGGGGGATGGGAGTGGGATCTGAGCTAGGCTGAGTTGGACCATGTTGGGCTCACCCCTGGTGAGCAGGTGGCCTGGATATGGGCTAACGTGCTGTTGGGTGGACTTGGGATAGGGGCAGCTGAGGCCCAGTCCCTTTTCCTCCTGGGAAGGGCCTGCTGGAATGGCCCCTCCTGGGGCTCTCAGCTCTGAGCAGTCTTTTTTTTTTTTTGAGACAGAGCTTCAAGCTATCCCCCTGGGTAGAGTGCTGTGGTATCACAGCTCACAGCAACCTCCAACTCCTGGGCTCAAGCGAGTCTCCTGCCTCAGCCTCCCAAGTAGCTGGGACCACAGGTGCCTCCCACAACCCCTGGCTATTTTTTGGTTGCAGCTATCATTGTTGCTTTGGCGGGCCTGGGCTGGATTCGAACCCGCCACCTTAGGTGTATGTGGCTAGCGCCTTAGCCACTTGAGCCACAGGCGCTGAGCCACTGAGCAGTCTTGGAATCACTGGCGTCCTAGCTCTATCCTTTCCTCCCCCTGGACAGGCAGGTGAGCTAGAGAGGACCCTGGGTTGAGATCTGCCCCATGGTCCTGAGGGGCTTGTGAAATCTTCCTACCTCTGACTAATGCTGGCTCTCTTCCCTCCTGGCCTTCCCTTGGGCCACCTTCACATCTTCCTGGCACTGGCCAGCCTAGCACCACCAAACTGCTAGGGGCCCCTATCAGGTCCCTGTTTCCACCTTTCAGCTGGCCTGTCAGTGGTTGCTTCTCCCAGCAGCTGCTGGCTAGTGGGCATGAGGGGTTCCCAGTGGGCATGAGGCAGGAACCGGGCATTGTCACCCCATCCTGGGTGGGGGCTCTCTGTAAAGGCAGGAGTTGCCTGGCTGAGGGGGCCCCTTCCCCACAAAGGTGGCCAGCCAAGCTCTGTATCTCACATGGTGACCCTGAGCAGAGAGGCTTTTGTTGGTTGGTTTCTTCTGAGTTATGATTCCTCCAGAGGTTTAAGGAAGCTTGTACAATCAGAACAGAGGGATGCAGGGTGGGAGTGGAGCATCCAAGGGGCCTGAGCAAAGAAGGAACCAGGTTTGTTGGGAGAGTTAAAGGGTCCATGAGAAAAGGCCACCCTGTTCCAATAAGCACAGCTTTACCCAAAGCCAAGGCCCTAAAGGAGCATTCCCCTCAGCTAGACCAGAAGAGACACCTTCTACCATCCTTGGGTGAAATGCAGTGGTTGGAGGCTGTGCCCTACCTATACCAAGCAGTATGGCCTTAGGCAAATTACTTTTCCTCTCAATTCCTCAGTTTCTTCTCCTGAGAAATGGGCCAATAATACTAGCTTCACAGAGCTATTGTGGGGTTCAAGGAGAAAGGCCATGAAAAGTTTCCAGCTCAGAGCCTGGCCCAAGGCCCATCCCATGGAAGTGTTGGCCATCACCAGGTGCACACAGGAGGGACTGTCACTGGGCCATGGTGATTTGGAGGGGTAACTTGCTTCTAATGTTTTCATCTTGTGGCTTATTCTTTCTATACTTAAACAAGCCGCAGGAAAGAACTTTTTTTTAAAGGGGATGGTGGTATATGCAGGGAAGTGATGTTTAAGGTGTCCTTAGAGGGCATACCAGCCATTCTAGAGGTACAGGGTTGGGCCCTACATGGAGGGTTGGGTGGCTATTGGTGTGTGGCCCCACTTGCCAGGTGCCATGCAGGACTGCCGTAGATACTAGGTCCCCCAGTCACAGGTGCACTCAACTAAGATTACAGTGGGTTTGAGAGCGGGCAGCTGCTAGGGGAGGCTGGTCCACAGCATTCTGACTAGGACAGAGCAGGATCCCCAGAGGGTGTGGGGCACAGAGCCACCTAGAGATGGGGAAAACCTGGAGGCAGAACAATGCTCCCTACCACTTTCTCAGACTTGCCCTGAGATGCTGATGCTCCTGAGTTGGGGAGGGAGGACCACATGTGTTCCTGGGTCCACTTGTGGGGGCCTCAGGTCCTCTACCAGTTGGGGATCCTTAGCCCAGCCTCAGCAGCTCCCCTACTCACAGGTCTTCCCTCATCCACACAGACTCAGGCAGAGGTCCAAGGGCACACATGTTGACGCAGGCTGTACACTCACTTAGACACATGCACACAGATGCAGCCCAGCCCAGCCCCACAGGCTCTGCCCTGCAAAAGGCTTGGGAAGCTGGGGTAGGAGGCATGGGCAGATATCACTCACTCCTGCTGGTTTGCCCATGGGAGGCCACCAGGGAGAGGTCTGGAGGCAGGTGGGAAGTGGGGCCCGGCTGTGGTGGACACCAGCAGAGTGTGTGCCTCTGAGTTATGAGTGTGTGCCTCACAGTGACCCTTCACTTCAGTGACTGCTCTGGTTTCCTCTGGACTTCACTCTGTACCATGTGTGGTCTGTCTACCTGTTCACATGTCCAGGGTTGGTCAGCCTATGCCTATGCACTGGGGCCTGTGCCTCCCTGACCACCTGGAACAACAACTTCTTGGGGTCACCAGGTTGGGGGGCAAATGTGTGAGAACCTAGGAGACTTCCTGAAGGTGTCACTTCATTGCGGGGGAGTGGGGGCAGGCCTGCAGGGGCTGTGAGCTAGAGGCCAGGGCATGTTTTCCTGGGTAGCCCTGTGGCGATGGCTTGGCCCTGGTTGTAGGTCAGGCTAGGGGGTGAACTTTTAGAGAGAGCTGGGAAATGGTTTCATTCAAGATCTCCAGGGGGGAGCAGATGCAAGAAGGCAGGAAGGGCCTGGGCACTGTCTCCCCAGTTTATGGGGTGGTCACCAACCTCTCTGGCCTGCATTCTGGTCATTTGAGACAGGGTCTAGATGGGGTACTTCTGGAGCGGACCTCAATGGGATTTCTGTGGGCTGGGCACCCCTGAACCTTCTTTCTTCCTGTAGGGTGCTGAGGGCAATGGCTTTGCTGCTCTGGGCCTTGGCCCTCCTGGGCCTGTTAGGCACAGGCATGGGCTTGCGATCCCGCCAGCTGGATATCTTCCGCAGCGAGACAGAGCTGAACCACCTGGCTGTGGATAAGGCCTCAGGTGTCGTGTATGTGGGGGCAGTGAACATGCTCTATCAGCTGAGCGCTGACCTGCAGCTGGAGCAGCAGGTGACCACAGGCCCAGCCCTAGATAACAAGAAGTGCACACCACCTATCGAGGTCAGCCAGTGCCACGACGCCGTACAGACCAATAATGTCAATCAGCTGCTGCTGCTCGACCCACCCAGGAGGCGGCTGGTTGAGTGTGGCAGCCTCTTCAAGGGCATCTGTGCCCTGCGTGCCCTGAGCAACATCTCCACGCGTCTTTTCTATGAGGATGGCAGCGGCGAGAAGTCTTTTGTGGCTAGCAATGATGAGGGCGTGGCCACAGTGGGGCTGGTGAGCTCCACGGGCCCTGGCAGTGAGCGCGTACTGTTTGTGGGTAAAGGCAACGGGCCACATGACAATGGCATCATTGTGAGCACACGCCTGCTGGACCGGGCCGATGGCAGGGAGGCCTTTGAGGCCTACACTGACCATGCTACTTACAAGGCTGGTTACCTGTCCACCAACACGCAGCAGTTCGTGGCTGCTTTTGAGGATGACCGATATGTCTTCTTTGTCTTCAACCAGCAGGACAAACACCCAGCCCGGAACCGCACACTGCTGGCACGCATGTGCAAGCAGGACCCCTATTACTACTCCTACCTGGAGATGGACCTGCAGTGCCAGGAGCCTAGCAACGCCCCTGATGCTTCCTTTGGCACCTGCCTGGCAGCTTCCGTGGCTACACCAGGTGCTGGCCGGGTGCTCTATGCTGTCTTCAGCAGGGACAGCCGGAGCAGCGGGGGCCCTGGTGCAGGCCTCTGCCTATTCCCACTGGAGGATGTTCATGCCAAGATGGAGGCCAACCGCAACGCTTGCTACACAGGCACCCGGGAGGCAGCCCGCGACGTCTTCTATAAGCCCTTCCATGGCGAGATTCAGTGTGGCAGTCACATGCCGGTACGTGTCCTCGGTGCTTCCTTACATAGGCTTAGACCACAAGTGTGGATGGGTATGTGTCCCCACCTGGTTGAGGAAGCATGTGTGCTGTGTGGCTGGTTTGGGCCAGCACAAGTCTTGCGCACATATGTGCTGCGTCTTGGTGTTAGGCACATGGCAGTGAGTATGGTGCTCGCTGTCACATGGGCCTTGTTTTCACGGGGGTGTGCTGCAGGGTAGGGCCTGGCCCGAGGGGCTCTGGGCAGGGTCTGCCTGCCACTGACACATGGTCTATAGGGCGCCAGTGAGAGCTTCCCTTGTGGCTCGGAACACCTGCCCTATCCACTGGGCAGCCGTGACGGACTCATAGCCAAAACCGTGCTGCAGCGTGGAGGTCTGAATCTGACAGCCGTGACGGTGACTGCTGAGAATGGCCACACTATTGCTTTTCTGGGCACCTCTGATGGCCGAATCCTCAAGGTGAAACCTGAGCTAGGGCAGGGAGGGTCCCGGCAGGGCCTGTCTGTGCACAAGGCCTCTGCCTTCATGTGCCTACCCTCACAACCACAGGTGTACCTTGCACCAGATGGCACCTCCTCACAGTATGGCTCCATCCCCGTGGAGATCAACAAGAGAGTCAAGCAGGACCTAGTACTGTCGGGAGACCTAGCCAGTCTGTATGCCATGACCCAGGACAAGGCAAGCCCAACAGAGCCCTAGGAGATGTCCTTGGGGCAAAGGCACCCAGGTCATTGTGACCCAAGCCATTGTGACAGGCCTGGGGGGAGTAGGCGAGGTGGGGAGTCTCGTAGGGCCCAGGCCTAGCCCAAGCTACTATCTCCTTGGGCTGGCCAGAAGCCCACTAGCAGCTTCCTGGGCAGGGTTTCTGACCTTGTCTCTGCAACTCTGTCTCTGTCCTGTGCCTTGCCCCATCTGGCCCTGCCCTCACCCATCTTGTTGGTGGGACCTGCATAGTCTCTGCGGCCCACAAGCTTGTTGAGGTGTTGGTGTAAGAGGCCCTTAAGCTGGCCCCACAGTCCCCAGATGTCCAAGCACCACTCAGAGAGAGCGAGTACAAGGCATCCCAGCTGGCTGGGGAAGCTCCACAATCCACACCCAACTGTTCCCTAGGGACCTCCCTCTGGAGCTCAGCCTGTGTCCACTGCTCAGAACTGACCAGTCTGAGCTGGAATATGAAGAGTGTCAGGTGTGAGGGAGACTTGTGTGGCTCATAACCCTGTCCCCCCAGGTGTTCCGGTTCCCAGTGCAGGAATGTCTGAGCCACACAACCTGTGCGCAGTGCCGTGACTCCCAGGACCCCTACTGTGGCTGGTGTGTCCTCGAAGGACGGTAAGCACCAGCCAGGGACTCCAGGGGATACAGCACCATCCTGGGAGATGGAGGCAGTCCCAAGGTTAAGGCTGGCCCTTGCCCCTGCAGGTGCACCAGGAGGGCTGAGTGCCCACGGGCTGAGGAGACCAGCCATTGGTTGTGGAGCCGGAACAGGTCCTGTGTGGTGGTCACTGGTGCTGAGCCACAGAATATGAGCCGGCGGGCCCAGGGGGAGGTGTGTGGCGGGCCCAGGAGCTACTAGGATGTGGGGGTACAGCATTGTCCTGAGGCCTGGGCTCTGGGTGCCTAAGGAGTCTGGGAGCCCTTCCTCGGGCCCTTTGACCTTGTGACCTGGGTGGGTAATGGTGGGACTCCTATCTGTCCAGAGCAAAATGAGGTCCCCTCCAAGGAAGTGCTGGGTGACCATGTTGGGTCAGATTCTAGACACTTCTCTGGGCGTCAGCTTGCATGTATACAGGGGCAAGTAGGCAGGACATAGTACTCTGGGTGGGCACAGGAGGCCTGCAGGGGCCCTGGTGTGAGCCTGCAGCCCCTCCAGGTGCAGCTGACCATCAGCCCACTCCCTGCTCTGAGTGAGGAGGATGAACTGCTCTGCTTCTTTGGCAAGTCACCATCACATGTTGCCCGTGTGGAGGGGGACACTGTTTTCTGCAACTCACCAAGCAGTATCCCCAGCACTCCGCCAGGCCAGGGTGAGTCCCCCATCACATTCCATGCTGTGGTCACGTCCTCATCAGCCCAGGGGTGCCTGCCCCAGAGGGCTGCAGCATCTGAGCTGGACAGAGGCTAGGGGTAGCCTATGTAGCATTGTCTAGGCACCCACCTATATCTCCCTCCCCAACCCCTGACAATGGGGCTGTCCCTAGCAGCCAAGGTCCTCTAATGTAGGCCAGGGCAAGTAACGTGTGTCTCCCCTGAGTGCTGTGGGCAGTGAGCCATGCAGTGACGTGGTCAGGGACCTGGCAGGCCCTCCTGCCAGACTGCAAGGAGCCACCAGAGGAAGGCAAGCCCAGCCCTAGGGGCTGATACTTGAGCTGAGATCAGATAGCATGTTGTAGGCCCAGCTGTACCTGTATAGGAGTAGGAGGTCCTGGCAGGGGTGTCCACATCAGGCTTGATGAAGGGATCAGTATCAATTGCCCATCTCCAGGTCCTCTGTTCCCATACTCCTGGGCCTGAAGTGCCAGCCTTGGCTACTACCTGACATGTCCTCTCTGTGTTTTGCAGACCATGTGATTGTGAGCATCCAGCTATTCTTCAAACGTGGCAAGATCTTCCTCACTTCCCACTTGTATCCCTTCTACGACTGCCGCGAGGCCATGAGCCTGGAGGAGAACCTGCCGTGAGTCTTGCATGCCTCTTAGCCCCTGGCGCTGGCCCCAGCCCAGCCCCTCATGACCCCCTCCCACAGGTGCATCTCCTGCGCAAGCAACCACTGGACCTGCCAGTGGGACCTCCGCTACCACGAGTGTCGGGAGGCCTCACCCAACCCCGAGGACGGCATTGTCCGTGCCCACATGGTAAGGAGTGAGGGGACTTTTGGGGCCTGGCTGCTTGGCCGTGTGCAGGCAGCACCTGACCAGGCCTGCTCTACCCCAGGAGGACAACTGCCCTCAGTTCCTAGATCCCAGCCCAGTGGTCATCCCCATGAACCATGAGACAGATGTGACCTTCCAGGGCAAGAATCTGGACACAGTGAAGGTCGGGGCACCTGCCTTATGGGGAGTGCTCAGGATATGTTGGGGGACAAGCAGGCCCCTGAGGGGGTAGACACAGTGGCCAGGATGTCCCTTCCCAGGGAGGATGGTGGGTGGGCTGGGCAGTGTGCTCGGGTGGACAGGGGCACTGGGACACCAATGCAGGGATGGTCAAAGGCTTTTGCAGACACCTGTGTGTCAGACTCAGGAGAGGTCAGTTGGGAGGGAGTGACTGAGAGGGTCCAGGAAAAGGCTAGGATGCCAAAGCCCTGGTGGGATTGCCTGGCCAGAGTATCTTGACTGGATTGTCCGTAGGGCTCCTTCCTATATGTCGGCAGTGACCTCCTCAAGTTTGAGGAACCAGTGACCATGCAGGAATCAGGAACCTTTATCTTTCGGACCCCAAAGGTATGGCTGGCAGGCCAGGCTGCTAGACCCCCGGGGCCTGGTGGGGGGGATGCTACCTCTGGGAACACAAGGGGAAGGGCAGAAGGGAGGCCCCACCCTGCGAGGACCAGGGTGGCCTCGGGAACCTTGCTGCCCCCCACCTCCACCCATCCCCATCACCTCCCCACCTGGTGTGCACAGAGCAGCCTGTGTCTGCATGGCCTGCAGTGGCTCTGAGGCTCTGCTTCCAGCTCTTGGCTGAGAAGGGACCATGTGTCCATGGGGTGGTCACCATATGATCCCACCCTGTGGCCCCTGGTGGAGCCCAGAGGTGCAGCATATCTCTCTGTGTCCCCAGCTGTCCCATGATGCCAATGAAACATTGCCACTGAAGCTGTATGTCAAGTCCTACAACAAGAACATTGACAGCAAACTCAAAGGTAGGGGTGGGAGGGTGGGGCACTGGGGGTAGGGGGAGCTGGGGTGGTGCCTCTCTGCTGACCACTATACTCCCCTCCACAGTAACTCTCTACAACTGCTCCTTTGGTCGCAGCGACTGCAGCCTGTGCCTGGCCGCCGACCCCACCTACAACTGCGTGTGGTGTCGAGGCCAGAGCAGGTGTGTATACAAGGCTCTGTGCACAAATGCCACTTCCGAGTGCCCACCGCCAGTCATCACCAGGGTGAGCCCCTGTAGCCTGACTCAGAGCTTCCTGTTGCCCAAGCCTGCCTGAGCTGCTGGGTCATCAGCCTCTGCTGATTTAACAATTCCAGATCCAGCCTGAGACAGGCCCACTGGGCGGGGGCATCCACGTTACCATCCTTGGGTCAAATTTGGGTGTCAAGGCTGACAATGTCAAGAGGATCACTGTGGCTGGCCAGAACTGTGCCTTTGAGCCAGAGCACTACTCTGTGTCAACACGGTGAGTGGATGGACCTTGTCCTGGGCTCTGCTTGCTGACTGGGTCATCCCCTACCCTAGGGTTCCGGGGCCTGGCTCCTGGGTGGATGGAGAGCTGAGGAGGTGGGGCCTGGGGAGGGTCCGGGCTACCCTGCCTGCCGCCCCCAGGATCGTGTGTGTGGTTGAGGCCGCAGAGGCACCCCTCACCGGGGGTGTCGAGGTGGACATCAATGGGAAAGTTGGCCGTTCTCCACCCAGTGTCCAGTTCACCTACCAAGTAAGTGCTGGCCTTGGGGACCTGCACGGCCCTGCAGGCTGGGAAGGGGGTGCCCTGCCACCTTCCAACAGCGGTCATCACCCAGTGGAGGCCCAGGATTGGGGACTGAGCTTGTGCCCTAGCCCTGACCCAAGCACACCTTGGCTCTCCCAGCAGCCACAACCACTCAGCGTGGAGCCAAAGCAGGGACCGCAGGCTGGCGGCACCACACTGACTATCAACGGCACCCACCTGGACACGGGCTCCAAGGAAGATGTGCGCGTGACCCTCAGTGGCGTCTCTTGTAAAGTGTGGGTGTCATCCACCAACTGCCCAGGGACTGGGCGGGTACTCTCCCCATGACTCAGTTGTGCCTGAGGGGCAGTGGAGCCACCAGCCCAAGGCTGAGGTTGGTCCCAGGGTGAGGCTTATGCAGACCGGCCCCTCCCACCCCAGGACAGAGTTCGGGGCGCAGCTGCAGTGCGTCACTGGCCCCCAGGCAGCTGTGGGCAAGGTGCCCCTTGAGATCTCCTACGGAGGCTCCCCTGTGCCCAGCCCCGGCATCTCCTTTGCCTACTGCGAGAACCCTGTCCTGGGAACCTTCCAACCACTGCGCAGCTTTGCCAGGTGGGTGTCACTGGCCAGAGTCCCACCCCTCCCAGCCTAGGAGCCCACTTCAGCTCTCTCTGGGGCTGGTCTTGGCAGCTGGAGGAGTCCTCCTGAAAACCTCAGCACACCCCCAGACCAACTTCCTTCCCTTGCCCTGCTTGTGTCACAGCCACACACACCAAGCACAGCCCCACACTCTCTGCCATCACCTGCCCACATGGATCTGTACCTACCTCCAAAAGCCCAGCATGGTCAGAGACAAGGTGGTGGGAGCTTGGCAGGGCAGGACCTGCTGGGCATTATCCTGAACTGGCTAGGTACCACCCTTGCCTAGCTGAGCCCACTAAAGGCTTTTCCATCCCCAGTGGTGGCCGGAACATCACCGTCACTGGTCAGGGCTTTAGCCTGATCCAGAGGTTCGCCATGGTAGTCATCGCTGAGCCCCTACAGTCCTGGCAGCAGCAACAAGAGGCTGAACCCCTGCAGCCCATGACGGTCAGTCCTGGGGCTGGCCCCTAGGGACAGGCCTGGGAAGTGCAGGATCTGCACCAGTGGCCTGATGGCCTGGACTTGACCTACAGGTCATGGGCACCGAGTATATGTTCCACAACGACACCAAGGTTGTCTTCCTGTCCCCGGCTGTCCCTGAGGAACCAGAGGCCTACAACCTCACAGCTCTGATACAGATGGATGGGCACAGAGCACTGCTCAGGACTGAAGCTGGCACCTTCGAGTACGTGCCCGATCCCACTTTTGAGAACTTCACGGGTGGCGTGAAGAAGCAGGTCAACAAGCTGATCCATGCCCGGGTGAGGACTCGGTTCCAGCAGGGAGAGGACCTGGCTGACTGTCCATGTGCCCACCCTCCTGCTAACCCTGGCCTCTGCCCACCCACCCCAGGGCACCAACCTAAACAAGGCAATGACGCTGCAGGAGGCTGAGGCTTTCGTGGGGGCCGAGCGCTGCCTCATGAAGACGCTGACTGAAACCGACCTATACTGTGAGCCCCCTGAGGTGCAGCCCCCACCTAAGCGGCGGCAGAAGCGTGACACAACACACAACTTGCCAGAGTTCATTGTACGTGGGGTGGGGGGGACGGGGGCAGGGGCCGGGAGCCCTGCCCACGCTGAACCCACGCCCCCTGTTGTGCAGGTGAAGTTCGGCTCTCGTGAGTGGGTGCTAGGCCGTGTGGAGTATGACACGCGTGTGAGTGATGTACCCCTCAGCCTCATCCTGCCTCTAGTCATTGTGCCCATGGTGGTCGTCATTGCAGTGTCAGTCTATTGCTACTGGTAAGCCCACCCGTGAGCCTACCGATGCCCCCAGCCCAGCTCCTCTGCCCGCACCTGCCACCTTCACAGTCTGGGGCTTCGGGGCAGCGCCTGTGGTTCAAATGGGTGGGCGCCAGCCCCATATGCTGGAGGTGGCGGGTTCAAACCCAGCCCCGGCCAAAAAAAAAAACAAAAAACGAGAACACAGTCTGGGGCTTCTTAGTTGGTCAGTCCAGTCAGGAGCCTGCCTGTGCCCTGCCAGGAGGAAGAGCCAGCAGGCCGAGCGCGAGTATGAGAAAATCAAGTCTCAGCTGGAGGGCTTGGAGGAGAGTGTACGGGACCGTTGTAAGAAGGAGTTCACAGGTGGGGGCCACCAGCATGGTTGGAGCACTATAGGGGTCCAGGGGGGCCCATGGTGGATGGCCAGGGTGCCTCATCCGTCCTCCCCCGCAGACCTGATGATCGAGATGGAGGACCAGACAAACGATGTGCATGAGGCAGGCATCCCTGTCCTGGACTACAAGACCTACACCGACCGCGTCTTCTTCCTGCCCTCCAAGGATGGCGACAAAGACGTGATGATCACGGGCAAGCTGGACATCCCTGAGTCACGGCGGCCTGTTGTGGAGCAGGCCCTCTACCAGTTCTCTAACCTGCTCAACAGCAAGTCCTTTCTCATCAACGTGAGCTAGGGTGGTGGCGGCCATGGACAGGTGGGCTGCACAGCGGGACCTGTGTGGGTTGGGTTCTGACCACCTATCCCCACAGTTCATCCACACTCTGGAGAGCCAGCGGGAATTCTCAGCCCGTGCGAAGGTCTACTTCGCCTCCCTGCTGACGGTGGCGCTGCACGGCAAGCTTGAGTACTACACAGACATCATGCGCACGCTCTTCCTGGAGCTCATGGAGCAGTACGTGGTGGCCAAGAACCCTAAGCTGATGCTGCGCAGGTGTGTGCAGGCCCAGATGAGAGTGGCTGGCCACAGTAGGGCACAGGGCCTATTTGGGCAGGTGTCTGAAAGTGCAGGTGGGTAGAAAGGGTGGACAGCCTAAGGCTGGCTTTCCTGGCAGCAGACACAAAGTCAGGTTCCAGCTCTCCCCAGCCAGCAATCTCTGCTGATCACTCAGCTGCTCTGTCCTCTGTGTCAGCTCTCTGCCATATGGGTGGAGATGCCCTCTGCCTTATGGGTAGAAGGTGACAGGCCCCATGTGAGTGACAGGCCCCATGTGAGGGGCACAGTGTTGCCTATGTGTGCCCAGACAGGACCCGGGGCATGGATGAGGAGGCTAGGGAGACACGAGGGTGGTTAGGTGCTCGGAAGAGCTATTTGGTCCTTGAGGGGACTGGAGTTGTCTTGACACAAGGCCTATCTGGACCCCCAGGTCTGAGACAGTGGTGGAAAGGATGCTGTCCAACTGGATGTCCATCTGCCTCTATCAGTACCTCAAGGTGAGTTCCACCCACCCTGACAGGGTTAGGGCAGGGGCATGTGTGCTGTGCTCTCCAGACATCACCTGCCTGTCCAGCACTTCCAGATGAGCCTGGCCCTTGGCCAGGTCTGGGGGCGCCTCTCACAGGCCCCAGCTCCCCCAGCCCACACCACTACTTTTATTGCCCCAGGACAGTGCAGGTGAGCCCCTATACAAGCTCTTCAAGGCCATCAAACATCAGGTGGAGAAGGGGCCTGTGGACGCCGTGCAGAAGAAGGCCAAGTACACCCTGAACGACACAGGGCTACTGGGGGACGACGTGGAGTACACGCCCCTGGTGTGCACACTAAGGATGCGCCTCGGGCTGGGGCTGGGGCAGGGACCTCGGAGGCTGCACTGCGGAGCTTGGACTTCTTTACCTGGCTGTGGATAGGATCCATATGGGTGGGATGATCAGGTTTCCTGTCAGGGGAGGCATTCAGTGGTCTCTCACTCCTGCTGTGGTTTGGATTAGAGCACAGGCTGCTATGTTTCGGGTCATGGGGCCCCCTAGAAAGGGGCTGTGTTGGCTGCCTCCTGGGTTCCCCAGCCTCTTGCAGGGTATGTGCGGGGCCTGGCACATCAAGCGTATCTGGTGAGTGTGTGCCCATGTGAGATTCAAGGGTGTGGTATGAACATGTGAGTGAGCAGTCCCTTACTCTCTGTCCTGCTGAGCGAGCCAAGGCCAGCAGAGAAAGCACAAAATGAGATTGTCCTGAGTGGTGCCTCGGGGCTCAGAGCCAGTCGGAGGCACATCTTCCTGATGGCTCAGCTGTGGCCAGTGAGTCTGGCGGGGGCAGAGGGTGGCTCCTGTGCTGGGGGGGTGGTGCGAGTGAGGACCCCTCTCCCGCTGACTCTTTATCCTTTGTTCTCTGGCAGACAGTGAGCATGATCGTCCAGGATGAAGGGGCTGATGCCATCCCGGTCAAGGTTCTCAACTGTGACACCATCTCCCAGGTCAAGGAGAAGGTCATTGACCAGGTGTACCGCACACAGCCCTGTTCTTGCTGGCCTAAGCCTGACAGTGTGGTTCTTGGTGAGTGTCAGCCAGAGCCTGCCTGGACAGGGGTGCCCATGTGCCAAGCCCTCCCCGGTCAGCTTTAACACCAGGGAGTTGGGGTGAGCAACTGAAGGGGGTGGGGCAGGGCTGCCTATGGCCCATAGGTTTTCAGGTGCTGGCTGTGTCTCCCACAGAGTGGCGACCTGGGTCTACAGCACAGATTCTGTCTGACCTGGACCTGACCTCTCAGCGGGATGGCCGATGGAGGCGCATTAATACCCTGATGCACTACAACGTGAGTGTGTGGACGCCAGGGCACGGACAAGCCTGGCACAGTGGAGAGCACTGCCCACTATCATGACTATGTTCTCTAGGTCCGGGACGGAGCTACCCTCATCCTGTCCAAGGTGGGGGTCTCCCAGCAGCCGGAGGACAGCCAGCAGGACCTGCCTGGAGAGCGTGAGTCCTTCCCTCTTCCCCACTTCCTTCCAGTACCTGGAAGTCAGCAGGGACCATGTCCCCCTCTGCTGTCTAGAGCAGTGGTTCTCAACCTTCCTAATGCCGTGACCCCTTAATACTAAATCTACACCTCCTGTTGTTGTGACCCCAAACCATAAAATTGTTTTCGTTGCTACTTCATAGCTATAATTTTGCTACTGTTATGAATCGTAATGTAAATTATCTGACATGCAGGATGTATTTAGGTGACCCCTGTGAAAGGGTCATTTGACCTTCAAAGGGGTCATGACCCACAGGTTGAGAACCACTGGTCTAGAGGGATCCAGGACCCCAGATTTCCTGGGCTCCAGTCTTCATACTGCCCTGGGCCACCAGGCTAAGTAGAGGCCCTCAGCATCCCACTGTCCACAGGCCATGCCCTCCTGGAGGAGGAGAACCGTGTGTGGCACTTGGTACGGCCCATAGACGAGGTAGATGAGGGCAAGTCCAAGCGTGGCAGTGTGAAAGAGAAGGAACGGACCAAAGCCATCACTGAGATCTACCTGACGCGGCTGCTGTCTGTCAAGGTGGGCCACTGTGGGCATGAGTGTGCAGGCAGGCACCCCTGGAAGCCATACCTACAGGGCCACAATGAATCCCTTGCCCTACAGGGCACACTGCAGCAGTTTGTGGACAACTTCTTCCAGAGTGTGCTGGCACCTGGACATGCAGTGCCACCTGCAGTCAAGTACTTCTTTGACTTCCTAGATGAGCAGGCAGAGAAGCATGACATCAAAGATGAGGACACCATCCACATCTGGAAGACTAACAGGTGAGGCCTGCCCGCTGCCCACCTGCCCACCCAGTGCACAACAGGCCCTTACTCTGTGTTGCTCTGCCTCAGTTTACCCTTGCGGTTCTGGGTGAACATCCTCAAGAACCCCCATTTCATCTTCGACGTGCATGTCCATGAGGTGGTGGATGCCTCCCTGTCAGTCATTGCGCAAACCTTCATGGATGCCTGCACTCGCACAGAGCACAAGCTGAGCCGTGTGAGTGGGGTGGCAGGCCCACCTGGCAGGTCTGGGAGGGGGAGGCTTGGTTGGTTGCAAGCATGGAATATGTCAAGGGGAGGGTCGGTGCAGGAGGTGACCAGGCTATGGGACTGCCCTCTTGCCCTCCTACCTCACACAGGCAGAGAAACTGACTCTTACTACCAATAACAAAATAGAGGCTGTTTGTGGTGGCTCACACCTGTAATGCTAGCACTCTGGGAGGCCAAGGCGGGTGGACTGCCTGAGCCAGAGCGAGACCCTGTCTCTAAAAATAGCCAGGCGTTGTTGCAGACACCTGTAGTCCCAGCCACTTGGGAGGTTGAGGCAAGAGAATCACTTGAGGGTGGTTCCTGTGGCTCAGTGAATAGGGCGCTGGCCCGATATACCAAAGGTGGTGGGTTTGAGCCCACCCCGGCCAAACTGCAATAACAACAACAAAAAATTTGCAGGAGAATCACTTGAGCCCAAGTGATTTGAGGTTGCTGTGGTGCCACCAAGGGTGGCAAAGTGAAACTTCGTCTCAAAAAAAAAAAAAATACAGTGTTTTGGGGAAAAATGTTGGGAGCTGTGGCCTGGGGCAGCTGCAGGAGCATGTGCCCAGACTCCTTTCCCTGTGGGACCTAGAGCTCAGCTCCTCAGAGCACCAGCGCCTGTCTAGGCCAGGGTGTTACTGGCTATGTCCCCCACAGGACTCACCCAGCAACAAGCTGCTGTATGCCAAGGAGATCTCCACCTATAAGAAGATGGTAGAGGAGTGAGTGCCCCCCCCCATGGACCCTGGGTGGCCCCTCCAGGGTCCCTGGGCAGAGGTGGACCATGGTGGGCAGCTTAGGTCCCAGGGAGGCCTTTAAGACCCAGACTCAGGCTTCCATTCCACCCCATCCCCTCTCCCCATCCTGTGTAACCCTCCCACCCCTGCAGTTACTACAAGGGGATCCGGCAGATGGTGCAGGTTAGCGACCAAGACATGAACACACACTTGGCAGAGATTTCCCGGGTAAGGAGGCCATAGGGATGCTCTGAGGCCCCTTCCCCTCCCCCCGCCCCTGTATTATGAGTGTACCTTCACTTGTGTGAGACTGCAGCTGAGGATGTTGTGGGTGTGAGTGCTGCTGAGCGTGCTGGGCCTATGGCTGGCAGGGCCCATGTGGGCAGCATAAGCAGTTCTGAGCTGGACCTGTCTGTGCTTTCTCTGTTTTGCTGGCCCATGTCTGTGGCTGACTCTATGTGTGTATCTGTATTTATGTGTGAGTGTCTGTCCACAGCTGTGCTGTGATGGGGCCTTTGTGCCTGCTGTGCCTAGGACCCCAGCATGAGCCATCATGTTTCAGCCTGCTGCTTGGTTTGGGTGGCCTACTGTCCCACACTGTGCCTGGCCGGGGGCCCTCACAACCCCTTCCCCACCCTGGTCCCACTATCACCCCCCCAGGCACACACTGACTCCTTGAACACACTCGTGGCACTGCACCAGCTCTACCAGTACACGCAGAAGTACTATGATGAGGTAGGGTCTGGGTGCTCGGGGTAGGAATGCACAGTTTAGTCCCTCCCCTGGTCTGTGGGCTGACTGGACCTACCCCCAGATCATCAATGCCTTGGAGGAGGACCCTGCTGCCCAGAAGATGCAGCTGGCCTTCCGCCTGCAGCAGATAGCAGCAGCGCTTGAGAACAAGGTCACTGACCTCTGATCACCAACCTCCAACACTGCCTCGGGCACAGGTGCGTGACACCCGTGCTAGGATTGAGCAGTGCCTCTGGATGAGGGCACATGGCCTCTGGCTGAGCACTCCTCTCTCCCTAGCAGAGGATGTGCCCAGAATCTGGAGTGGGGCAGTGGGGTCCCACCCAGTGCTGTATCCTGTAGCATCTCTCCTGAGCAATATCACCAGGCGCCCACACCAGCACCAGCTCCCTACAGGGGAACCAGCAGCGGGTGTTCTGAGTTGTCTTCTGAGTGATTCGCAAACGTGCCTTACGATGCCACACCAGGGCAGATGGGCCTCAGCCTCCCTCCACACACCAGCAGCCCCCTCAGATACCCTGGATTTGGCCTCTGGGTGGGGTCTGATTGTCTGCAGACCCCAGGGCAAGTTCCTAGACCACGTGTCTATCAGTCTACCAGGATGGAGGGAGAAGAAAAAGCGGTACGATGCCTTTCTGACCTCACCTGGCCTCCCCAGGGGGTGCTGGCACTCTGGGTGGACTCAAGGGCCACTGGACCCCACCTCAAAGGTGAACGTCAGACGTTGGGGCCCAGGTGGCCAGAGGGGGCCCAGCAGAATGGGGGTCCTGGAGGCCCTGTCCTGATCTGGGATGGCTGGGAACAGCTTCACCAGAACCACCCCACCACCCTTTTTGTAAATCTTGTTAATTATAAATCAAATACAACTGTCTTTTTCACTCTGTTGGTTTACTGGGTACCTCTGGGGCTGCCTGTCTGTTGCTGCTCTACCACCCCCTGGAGGGGCACAAGGTAGTGGTACATTGCTGGACCCCACCGGGCACTATGCTGGAGTGCCCATGTTCTGACCTTGTGTTCTCAGGACCTGTTCCTCCTTTCCAAGTCCAGGTGAAAGCATCACACAGCAGGGCTTAGTCCCTCCAGAAGACAGGGCCTTGAGTCCCATTGATTGTGGCCATGGGGCACAGGGGCATCTGCCTCTCTATCCTGTGAGGCACTCCTCAAGACACACGGAGGAGTGAGACTCTTGCTGATGGGGGAGTGGGCTGTCCAGGAACTGTCCATGGGAGAGGGAGTTGCTCCCAAGCCCATGAATGTGCTGAATGCCAGGACTACAGCAGCAGGCAAGACAGATGGGGCTCTCTCAAGGGCTGCCCTGTATGCCAAGAATCCCAGCCCAAGCAGGAAGGGCTCTGGTGGTCTATGAGGAGGAGGTGAGTGTGTAGTTTCAAATGTGGCTGGATCCAAATGCACCCATCTTGGGTTCTGTCTGTCTGAACTGCTTCTCAGCCTACACTGGGTCACCCTCCGGCAGCCGGCACTGGGCACGCCATGTCTGAGAACCTCTTGATGGGCAAGGCTTCCAGTGATCATGGGCCCCCAGACTGGGGCAGCTCCATCTAAGTCACAGGGAAAAGGGGTAGTTGTCTCTCCCCCAAGAAGGAAGTAAAAAGCAAATGTCAAATGACTGACATCCCAGCTCCCAGGAACACTTAGCAGCTGAACACTTCTGCTGCTCAGGCAAAGCACAGGGGCAGGACAGCCTGGGTGTGCAGAGCTGGGGGTCTGGGAGGAGCAGGGAACCTAGAGTCCTGGCTTTCAGACCAGATCTTTGCAGACCACCTCTGCCCTTCCCCACAAGGCAGTCAGGAGAGAAGGGAAGTGTCAAGGAGAGTAGAAATTAGACACATGTTGAGGTACATGGGGGTGAGCAGGTCAGCCCCAGTGGGCAGAATGACTGAAGACGAGGGGTGACCACCCTTCCTGCAATGGGAGAAGGGAGGTGGGCAGCCCAAGGCCACATCCTGCTTGCACCATCATCACCTGGACCTTGTGTGAGTGAGGCCAGGCCTGTCTTTTAGGAAGTTCATCCTGAGTACCAGAAGGGACACAACCAGGGCTAAGAGGGAGCAGAGATTATCAGTTGGGGAGCAGACATGGAGAGAAGAGGTGGGGTGTTGATATTTATGTATGACAACAGATCACAGCCAAGGGTGGAAGGAGGCTCCTCCACTGTAGCCCCCTACCACATCTGCCCTGCTGACCACTGCCTCATTCCTGCCCCCCGCATCATGACCTCCCTACAGTTCTGGACTCAGCTCAGCTATCCTGCTTCTTCTTTTTTTTTTTTTTGAGACAGAGCCTCAAGCTGTCCCCCTGGGTAGAGTGCTATGGCTTCACTGCTCACAGCAACCTTCAACTCCTGGGCTCAAGTGAGTCTCCTGCCTCTGCCTCCCAAGTAGCTGGGACCACAGGCGCCCGCCACAATGCCCAGCTGTTTTTTGGTTGCAGCCATTATTGTTTGGCCGGTCCGGGCTGGATTCGAACCTGCCACCTTAGGCGTATGTGGCTGGTGCCTTAGCCGCTTGAGCCACAGCTATCCTGCTGCTTACAGTGGGGCCTCCTGCACTACCCACCTGAAACTTGCAGTGGTCACTCCCCTGCAGTATTAGGACCATACTGCCCCAGAAAGCAGTACAGAGGTGGGGGTGGGGTGGGGGGAGCCATGAAGGCACACTAGGGGTTCCCATGAGAGGTCTTCTCATGATCCCAGAGTGGGGCTGGGCCTACCTGCCTGCAGGAAGCCCCTGGGCTTCTGTCAGCACTGACTGACCACTCACCTATGGGGGCTCCCAGTGGGTCAGCAAATACCTCCCCACCCCTGAGGAGAAGGAAGGCAGCCACACTGCCTCCTCCCACCCACCCCTTGCCTTCCCCCAGCTCCCTAGTTGCTATGAGAACCACCTGCCCTGCCCAGGCCACAGTACAGACAAAGGCCCCCCCTCCCCCCCCAGGCCCTAGTTCCCACAGCCCCAGGCTCCCTTCTGCCTTCTTCCTTTAGCTGAAGCTCCATTAACTCTACACAAAATCTCAGCCTGCCTTGGTCCCCATAAAAGACAGCTTGGAGGGCAGAGATGGTTGGGCAGGAAGGGCTTCAGGAGTGGAGACTCCTGCATCCTAGTCATCAGGGCCACCTTCAGGCTCAAGCCAGGCCCTAGGTCAGAAACCAGCTTGCAGAGGGGAAACTGAGGCCCAGAGTGGCTCGAGGCTGGGACTCTGATTCATCAACAAATGTGTGCCATTGCCCATTTCTGCCTGGACATGTTTTAGTTCGGTTCCCAATAAAGTAAACTTTCATTGCTGACCACCACCCTACACTGACCACCTCCTTAAGTTGACCTAATTTTCACAGGCTGGATACACGCCATGTGTACTAAGGTCTAGTTATATTTGCCACCTCATTTATGTTAACCAGTTTGTTACAGTCCCCTTGTGTGGTCAACTTAGAGAGGTTCTAGTATATTTAAAAACCAGGAGATTGGGCCAGGTGCAATGGCTCACCCCTGCAATCCCAGCACTCTGGGAGACTGAGGCAGGTGGATTGCTTGAGCTCATGAGATAAGACCAGCCTGAGCAAGAGCTGGCCAGGCGTGTATCCAGCCTGTGACAATTAGGTCAACTTGAGGTGGTCAGTGTAAGGTGGTGGTCAGCAATGAAGGTTTACTTTATTGGGAACCAAACTAAAACATGTCCAGGCAGAAATGGGCAATGGGATGCATTTGTTGATGAATCAGATTCCCATCTCCCAAAATAGCAGGGCACTGTGGAGGGTGCCTGTAGTCTCAGCTACTAAGGAGGCTGAAGCAAGAGAATTGCCTAAGCCCAAGAGTTGGAGGTTGCTGTGAGCTATGACATGACTGCATTCTACTGAGGGCGACAAAGTGAGACTCTAAAACAAACAAACAAAAAACCTTGTTCTTATACCCTCAATGAATCCCCAACAATAAATTAAAAAAAAAAAAAAGGCTCAGTGCCTGTGGCTCAAATGGCTAAGGCACCAGCCACATACACCTAAGGTGGCAGGTTTGAATCCAGCCGGGCCAGCCAAACAATGATGGCTGCAACCAAAAAATAGCCGGGCGTTGTGGCTAGCACCTCTGGTTCCAGCTACTTGGGAGGCTGAGGCAGGAGACTCGCTTGAGCCCAGGAGGTGGAGGTTGCTGTGAGCTGTGATGCCACAG